AACCACCATCATCATCATCACCACCATCCGAAGGCGTCAAAAATCAGACCCACTGTCACGGCAAGAAACATGTGGAATTTTCTATAGGACATCTGGTACAGTTGAGGAAAAAGCAAATAGAAATTAAAAGACTTTTCAAGCCGCAAATTGACTAACAAGCGGCGGAAGCAGTACGGAGAAATGACGCAAGTTGCGGCTAATTTCGACGAGACCCGGCCACACATTCAAATTTAATGAGGCCAAATTTCTCGCGAGAGGTGACAATCGTGTGAGTCGTGATTCACGGGTCAAAAGTATATGAACAAGTGCAAATACCCGGTCAGCCTATATTCGGTACGGAGGACCAACTTGGCCAAAGTAAGTCACCGCGGTTGGGGAACGCACAGGCCAACGCGTCGTATAACGTCAGCACCAGGGAGCGAGATGGCTGAACAATCATCACGTCAAATTCCATGTGTAACGAAAGTTTGGCAGGTCACCGCCAGCACGCCGGCCACAAAGCAATTAGCGACCAAGCGGGCGCCGTTAATTGTCATAAGTTGGCAGTAGCACAGCGACTGTATCTCAGGGACACACTGCAACTCCCATTTCTGCTATTGTCTCTGATGGTGGATCTGCGACGGATTTGGAAAATCCAGGCGATTAAAATTGCTGTCCCACCTATCACATCGGTTTACTTTCAAAGTCGGCATTAAATGTGCCTATGACCGTGCAGCAACAGATGAGAGGGTTGTGTACTACTAGATGCGAGCAAAAGAAAATAGCCCTTTCGTGCAGCAAGATACAGTACGGCCTAGAATTCGTGTAACATGCCGATATATGCTAAAGATTTATGCTCTCACGCTCGGCATTGAGTAAGGTTGTAAGACTGATTATCGTTTGGTAGCAAATTCCGCCTTCTTTAATTTTTAAACCGAAAGAAAGGGTATCTTTCGGTTTAAAAAAGTTTCCAAATTGCCGAATAATTTTTTAAACCTACTGACTGCTACACTTGAATTCAAGGTTTACAAACTGCGCCCTATGTACATCCTGTTTAAGAAAAAGGACGTTTTCGCATACAGTTTAAGGAAGGAGTCACATAGTTCTCATAAAATATTACAACAGATGTGGAACATGCTGTATACATTATAGGCAGCTTTAATAAATCGACGGATGTGATGTAGAATGAATGCACACCTCACAATCGTAAAAAAGCTCATAATTAGAAACTATTCTAAAACAGAAAGATACCCTTTCTTTAAGTATTATATTTAAAGAAGGCGTAATTGGCTACCAAACGAGTACAAGAAATAATATATTTTCGTTTATGTTTTCCATCAAATATATTTGAATTGGTGAAGGCGCTCGAAATCAATGATAAAAATGCATACTACTTAAGTAGCTACTTTTTATAGTACATACCTTTTGTTAGCGGTCAGAAGGAAGCTCTTTAAAAAGCCTGCATCCAATAATGAGTAAAAGGGCTTCAGAATAGCCTACACGATAATCAGTATTACAACCTTACTCAATGGCGATTAACGAAAGCATATCAATCTTCCGCATATGTCGGCATGTTACAGGAATTTTGGGCCGTACAGTAGTTTGTACAATGCAAGTAACACATCTGTTACTAATCTGCCATTCAGCAGTTATTATAGCGTCTACAGAAGGAGGGCACAACTCTGGCAAGTGACTTTGTCAAAGTAAGCGGTTTAGTGTAAGTATGGTACTCACTTTGATGAGCCCTTGGGGAATGCGGAGAAGCGGCATTAGCCGACTCGCCAGATTGGCCTTCGTTTTTGGAGGGAGGATTTGTTGTAGAGACCAAAGTTTCTCCAGAGGTAGACTGTTCATCAGTGGAAGACCGTTCCAAGCCTACTAGAGCGGCAGGCTGAGTTGAAGGTGCGCTAGTCGGCAGAGGAACAGCTACTCGAGAGAGGCAGAAATGGGGATCTATGGTCCACTGTTTGACAATGTCCATCAGGCAGGAGTCTGTCTGCACCTGTTTCTGCTCGGAAACGGGGATATGGTCAAGACAGAGGAGGATCTGTGGGGCGGGGGAGAAAAGGGAGGAGCCTTGTCAGTATTAAAGCGAAAAGCAAAGAAAAGGTATAACACAGTGCCATCTGACGTGCGGTGTTTGGGTAGGCGAGTACATGGGGTTTAATGTAAAACGTGTGTAGGCTGAAAAGAAAAGGAGACAGAGAGAGAGAGAACGGCAATTCATTCGAAATTGGTCACCCTCAATCCACTGGGTGTAGGCTGTGGCTTCATATAGCTTCATATCGAGCGTCATAGAGTGTTTTGGTAACATGCAAATGTCGATGCGGATTAGCCGGTGGTAGTCACCACGGAGGGTCCGATGGTTGGCGGCTTACATCCATGGCCGTCACGATCGTGTCCTTTTCTGGGGCGCTCTCTCTAAGCCCCGTAAG